TTCGAGGCCAGCCTGGGCTACCAAGTGAGTCCCAGGAAAGGCGCAAAGCTACACAGAGAAACCCTGTCTCGAAAAACCCAAAAAAAAAAAAAAAAGAAAAAGAAAGAAAGAAATAATTTTGAATCTACAGAAAGTTGCAGTAACAGTCCAGAGCCCCCTGCACATGCTCAGACGCACCTGTTACCAACATGTGCTTTACCATCTCTCTCTCCCGTTCCTCTCTCCTTCTCCCTTCCCCCGCCCCACACTGTTTTAGATTGAGAGTAAGTTGCATGTGTTATATCCCTCCCCTGAGTTCTAAGAACGTGAACCTTCCCTTACACAGCCATAATGCAGTTATCAACTTTAGAGTGTTTACCATCCACACATACTTCTACTTAATATTCTGTCTCTATATCCATTTTGTCAGCTGCCTCAGAAATGTCCTTTAGGTATTTTCCACTCTCCAGTCCAGGTTCACATATTGTATCTAGTTGTTATATATCTTTAATGTTTTATTTGGTTTGGTTTCAATTTTGTGACTTCTTTGTTTGTTTTTGAGATAACCCATGCAAGTCTTAAACTTGAAGCAACCCTCTTATCCCAGCCATTCTGCCCACCTTTTACTATTTTTTAACCTAAAAACATATCACAACCTTATTTTGGCTTTGACATTAACATTTTAAAATAATCACTTATCTCCTTTCCTTACTTTAAATATTTTTAAATGTGTGTGTGTGTGTGTGTGGTGTGTGTGTGTGTGTGTGTGTGTGTGTGTGTGTGTGTGTGTGTGTATGCATATGTGTACAGGTGCCCTCAGAGGCCAGAAGAGGGCGTCAGGTCTTCTAGAGTTGGAGTTACAGGTGATTGTGAGCCGCCTGACATGGGTGCTGGGAATTGAATTCTGGTCTTCTGTAAGAGCAGTATGAGCTAGGGTCTCACAATGTTGTTTAAGCTGGTCTCAAACTCTAAATAACTGATGTTGTGTCCTCCTGGGATCCCCCATCCAGAGAAAGAAGGTACCCATCTTCCCCTCATTGTGGTAGTAATTCTGATTATAACTGATAGGAAATTTCAATGTCCTGTGTCTTGTCTGCTGTGGCCTTTAAAAACTTGCCCATTTCCAAGAATGTTGCTGTAGTGCTTTAGGCATTAAGATTCAGAACACAAAAACAGCCTTACCTTTTTACTGTAATTGCACTTTCCATGATGTCCTTTCCTCACTTCTGCCCATATGAGAGGAACTCATGACTCCACCATGACCACATCTCCATCTTGAGTGCTCCGTGTCCTGAGTCAGGTTAACCCATAGCAGACCGGAACAAAGTGATGTCTGCTGTTGTCCTCTTTCAGAACACCTATGACCGCTGCCCCATGGAGCTGGTCCGCTGCATCCGGCACATTCTGTACAATGAACAGAGGCTGGTCCGGGAGGCCAACAACGTGAGTGCCCATAGGTGTGGGAGCCGGGGAGCCCTTCTGGATCTGTTCCCCTTTAGACCCCACTTTGTGAGTTGGCCCGATATGCACTAGTGTTTCTTTAGGGAGCTGATCTTAGGTTTATAACTTCAGTAAGGATACAGCTGTAAAGCAAGGTGAGCATGTGCAAAATAATTGGACCCCAAGCAAATCATTTTTTGTGTTGAAGCATGCTCACATTCAGGTGAGATTCCTTAGAAATTTCTTGGTGCCCTCTGGGTCAGCTGCTGAAGGGGTGGGTCAAACCTAGTCACTTCAACAGCCAGATCCACAAAGGCCTTGTGCGTGCCCCCAACCCACCCTCATAGCTCCATCTGAGGGCTTCAGGATACCTTTGAGACATGTGGCTTTATCCATGGTGGAAGCCAATGACTTTATCACCAGAAGGCCCTGAAATCAACACAGACCATGTACTTCCAATGTGCCCCAACTTAGCCACAGTCATGGCATCAGGTCAATGAATAAATATGGAAGCAGGGGTCATCATAATCATTAGGAAGACCCGGGTGACCCTGGGACGTGTGGTGGTCTAGTCTCTCAAGGAGTCACGTGCATTCTATATGGGATACTCTGGTGGAGGCCAGAGCTGAAGCAGGAAGGAGTTTTTACCATGAAGGAACCCTGCAGTCACCTCTCTCCACATTTTCAGTTCTATCCCAGTTCTCACGAATGGCATTTGTGATTTCTTCTGACCTCCAATTTAACTTTTGGGATCTTAGCTTCACCTAAGGAGTAAGACTGAAGGCTTCCGCCCACCCTGACTCTCCTCTTCTGTCCCCAGGGGAGCTCTCCAGCTGGAAGTCTTGCTGACGCCATGTCCCAGAAGCACCTTCAGATCAACCAGACGTTTGAGGAGCTGCGCCTGATCACGCAGGACACGGAGAACGAGCTGAAGAAGCTGCAGCAGACCCAGGAGTACTTCATCATCCAGTATCAGGAGAGCCTGCGCATCCAAGGTGAGGCTGCATCACAGGCCAGGATGCTCTGGGCGCGGGAGTAAGGTCCAAGAGCCACTCCGAGGAAGCAGAAGAGAACCCAGTTCCATTCTGAGCCTATGTCCGAGTGAAATGGGACCGTTCACACTAAAGAAGGAACTGGAAGGGTGAGGCTAGTGGAGGGAGAGCACATGGCACCTGACAGGGAGATGTGGGGGCCTCACTCAGGCTCCTTGCTAGAAGAGGTTTCCTTTTGAGAAGGCATTCAAAGTTTCATAAATAGCACATACAGGGCATGATACGTTGTTAGGATGAGCATTGATAAATGCAGCCTTGCTGAAGTGATCAATGGTTGTGCATGCTATTTAGGGGCTCAGGGTGTGGCTCAGTGATAGAGTGCTTGCATAGTATGTGTGGGGCCCTGGCTTCCCTCCCAGCACTGAAGGGGTTCTGTCTGTGGTTCCCACCATTTAGTGTTGTGTGCAGTTCTTCAGAAGGGCCTTCCTGTGCCCCTGTGTGCCTGACGGACAGTGTCCTCTAGCCTTTGCTCTGGGACACACAGAAACCGAGAAGCCTCGTAAGGGTTATGGAGCCTCACCAGCATTCCGTCTTGACACTACAGGGTACAGGGAGCATCAGCACTTTCCTCTCCACGCCTGCATGTGTGTGTCAGACTCTCAGAGGGGGCTGGAGTGATGGCTCAGGTGATTCACAGTACTGGCTGCTCTGGCAGAGGACCTGGGCTTGATTCCCAGAATCCACTTGGTGGCTCAAAACTGTCTGTAATTCCACTTCCAAGGGATCCAACACCCTCTTCTGACCTCTGTGGGCACCAGGCATGCACATGGAACACAGACATTTATGTAGACACAAAATCCATACACATAAAATAAATCTAAGAACAGTTTTGGAAAGTAAGAACCTCAGAAGACTTTTGTCCCCATGCCGCCAGGCACATAGCCTGAGTCTTCCAAGGGCATGTGTCTAGACCACAGCACATCACTGTTTTGCCATTATTTCCTGACTTGCAGGCTTCCCAGATCGTAAATCACTGAGAAAGAACGTGTCTTGTAGTTCTGTACCCTCAGGCCAGCATAAATTATAGTTGTGGGCTTGTCCTGGCTGGCTCATGTTGCTTTTGTCTGTCCCAGCTTGTGTGTCCCTGGGGCAAGGACCAGGTCAGTGTGACATGTTCTCAGAGGCCAGCCACGAACTTAAATGAGACCTGCCAGTGCGCACAAATTCTTGGCAAGACCTGCATAAGGATGCTTGGCAAGGGTCACTGGAGGGGACGGTTATGCCGACACTCGGGGTCTTTTTCTGGGCGTGGCGTGAGGGACAAGGAAGGGGCAAGCTGTGGTCATGGACAGGTAGTTCAAGCCTGGACGTGGATGGAGCAGAGCTGCTGAGGAGAGATCCTCCTCCCATGACTCTGTGTCCTGCTTGCGTCTCAGGGTCTGTCCTGATGTGTTGAAAGGTGAGGATGTGGCTCAGTTGGGAGAGCGCCCACCTAGCATTCACCAAGTCCTGGGTTTGATCCCCAGCATACATAAAAAGAGGCATGGGAGCATTAGTCTCCACAGCCGCCCCTTGAACTGTTGCCGGGTTCTCACTCTATACATGGGAGACTGAGGCACAGGAAAGAAAAAAAACTGGCCCAAGTTCACCCAGCTGGTAAACCACAGGGCTGCTTGTACACACAATCTAATGCCAACCCTGATGCCCCGTAGGGTGCCCTCTGTGTGGTGAACGGGAGGCAGGCACTACCAATAACTTGCTTCCCTATCAAGCACCTGTTCCCAGCCCAGGAGAGGCTAGGTCAGGAGACCCCTCATCAGAGACTAGAGACTGTCTCTGAGACAGCCCCTTCATTATGAGATACTCCTGGTTAATGCTGTCCATGGGGTGTCTGGCCCTGAGCGTGGGAGATCCTCCAGACTTCCCACTGGCCACAAGAGATGACGGTGGTGGGTGTCCTGTCCCCTCCTCCAGCCCAGTTTGCCCAGCTGGCCCAGCTGAACCCCCAGGAGCGCATGAGCCGGGAGACAGCCCTGCAGCAGAAGCAAGTGTCCCTGGAGGCCTGGCTGCAGCGAGAGGCTCAGACACTGCAGCAGTACCGTGTGGTCAGTGGGTCCTGCGTCCCTCTGCCCCGGGAGGGGAGGGCGCTCTGTCACCTGAGAGTCAGCACCAGGTCGGGACGGAGCCAAGATGAGAACAGGCCCACCCCCTCTTTGCTGGGGTGCATGTGAGGTGGGGCAGGTGGAGAGGGTAGGGCCAAGCCCTGGGTCCTAGGCCAGGGCCCGCGGGCTGCTCCCCGGGACCCAGGGACCCAGGAGGCCGCTGTGCCCTCCCTCCCCCAGGAGCTGGCTGAAAAGCACCAGAAAACCCTGCAGCTGCTTCGGAAACAACAGACCATCATCCTGGACGATGAGCTGATCCAGTGGAAGCGGCGGCAGCAGCTGGCCGGGAACGGGGGTCCCCCCGAGGGCAGCCTGGACGTGCTGCAGTCCTGGTGAGGGCGAGAGGTGGGCAGGGTGGGCAGGGGCTTGGCCAGTGGTGCCAGCTGCCTCTTCTGTCCCTGTGTTGGCCTGAGCAGCAGGTTCCCACTGTCCGTGACAGTTCTCACTTATCAGTGTCTTGGCTCCTGATGGCACTTGGCTCCTCAGTCCCGTGCCACCTCCCCCAAGGGGCAGTGGTGCCTTGGAATGGACAGGGCTGCTCTTGAGCTGGTTGGTTCCAAGTTGGGGCCACCCTGTCTGTCCTCTGCTTTAGGAAAATGGGACTCTCCTCTGTGCCTGTGCAGGGTCGCAGTGGCCAATGGCAGCACCTTGGGTGGGGGTGTGTCTTTGTTGGGAGGAAGTGTCACGTGTCCTCTTCCCCTGGCCTGTGCTGGAACAGAAGCCACTGTCCCTCTGAGGGCCCTGGGCTCCTTGCAGGTGTGAGAAGCTGGCCGAGATCATCTGGCAGAACCGGCAGCAGATCCGCAGGGCCGAGCACCTCTGCCAGCAGCTGCCCATCCCAGGCCCCGTGGAGGAGATGCTGGCCGAGGTCAACGCCACCATCACAGACATCATCTCAGCTCTGGTCACCAGGTGACTGCTGCCTCCCGGCCATGCTCAGAGAGTCATGGCAGTTCCTGGGGGTGGCCAGGTTGAGGCCCAGGAGCCGTCCAAACCCAGAGCTCTGCCTCAGCCCTCTTCCACCCTCCCCCACCCACTGTGGCCCCAGTGGCTCCGCTGCTGTGGCTGTCCTGGCCCGGGGTGTGTTGGGGACACTGCAGGAAGCACCCTGGTGTCCAGCCTCCCTCACACCTGTCTCCAACCCCCCCATGCCCTCCCCGGGAACAGAGGCCAGGCCCCTCCTCCTCCTCCGCCTGTCTGCCTTCTCCTAGTGGGCCCCACAGGCAGGCCCTCCCCTCCCGGCTGGCTCCTAGCTCTCTCCCCTGAGCCAGCACCTGGCCAACGGTCTGGACACTTGTGCCCCTGCAGCACATTCATCATCGAGAAGCAACCTCCCCAGGTCCTGAAGACCCAGACCAAGTTCGCAGCCACCGTGCGCCTGCTGGTGGGTGGGAAGCTGAATGTGCACATGAACCCGCCGCAGGTGAAGGCGACCATCATCAGTGAGCAGCAGGCCAAGTCCCTGCTCAAGAACGAGAACACCCGCAAGTGCGTGCGCTTCTGTGTCCCCTCTTGGCACTCTCCTCGGCCCCTGGGAGGGAAGATGAAAATTCTCCCTTAATGTCTGATGCCTGTTTTCCCTCTGCTCTTCTGAAAATGAATATCGAGAGTGCGTGTGTGCGCGTGCATGTGTGTGTGTGTGTGTGTGTGTGTGTGTGTGTGTGTGTGTGTGTGTGTGTGCTGTCATTTCATTAGGTGGGGACACGTTGCTCAAGGTCACCTCTGTGCCATGTGGATAGCCAGGCTCCCCTGAGTGGCAGCTGCTCCTAATGCCCCCCTTCGTTTCCCAGCCCCAGCTTGCTCTGGGTGCCTATGGCGTCCACAGCTTCTTTCCTGTCTGATTTGCAGTGATTACAGCGGCGAGATCCTGAACAACTGCTGTGTCATGGAGTATCACCAGGCCACTGGCACCCTCAGCGCCCACTTCAGAAACATGGTGAGGACTTGAGAGAGGCACAGTGGACTCTCCCTCCGTGGCTTAGGCCTCTTCATCTCCTGCTTCTCCTTTGCAGTCCCTAAAACGAATCAAGAGATCTGATCGCCGCGGCGCGGAGTCGGTGACGGAAGAGAAGTTCACAATCCTGTTTGACTCACAGTTCAGCGTCGGTGGGAATGAGCTGGTCTTCCAAGTCAAGGTAAAGTCCTCTCTCTGTCAGCCTGTATATGTGTGTGTGTATAGTATGTATCCACTGTATGCAGTGTGTGTGCATGATATGCATGCATATGTATAGCACGTAGACCATATGTGTGTGGGGTGTATGTACAGTGTGTATAAAATGTATATAGTGTGTGTGCAGTATGTATATTGTGTGCATGTTTATATAATATGTATACAGTATTGTGCAATGTGTATATACGATGTATGTGTACAATATATGTACAACATGTGTGTATTGTACATGTGTATATAGTGTATACAGTATATACATAGTATGTACTGCAGTGTGTGTATGTACAATGTATAGTGTGTAGAGTGTGTGTGAGTGTAGTTGTATACACTGTTTTCCTATAGTGTATGTCCACAGTGTGCATGCATATTTACAGAGTGGGTATACAGTATATGTACCATATGTACAGTGTATGTCAGATGTATTTATATATGCAGTGTGTATATAGTGTGCAGTATGTGTGTGCAGTGTTTGTGTGGTATATTGGTGCAATATGTATGCATACAGTATATGTGTAGTGTTCAGTGTGTGTTTGTTTGTGTGGTATATATACAGTATCTGTGCATACTGTTTATATGCTAAAAGAATTATGACCACATAGTATCTTCTTTTGTATTGATGATAAGTGGGAAATGGAAAGACCCTTATCCTTAGAGCTATTATTTTCTCAAATCCACTTTAGGCTCAAACAGTAACAAACTGAAATCGCTAGGAAGATGTGAAGCTGAATCATGGGGACCACTCAGTGTGAATTTAAGAATAGATTGGAGTGGGAGTTTTTGTGGTTGTGTGGTTTTATACTTGCTTGTTTAGTGGGTTGGGGTTTTTGTTTGTTTGCTTTTTGAAATATGGTCTTACTGTGTAGCTCAGACTAGCCTAAAACTTACCCTGTAGCCCAGGCTAGTCTTGAGCTTGAAGCCCTTTCTCAGTGTCCAAAGCTGGGATTACAAGTATATAGAAACATCTCCTTATCCTCTTCTGTTTTCTCTCCTGCCCTTCATGTGCTCGTGAGAAAGTTGTCTCATCCTTCAGAATATCTAACGAACTTCACCTATAAAATACCTATAATCCAGCTAGGGACTGTGGTACATACTTGTACTCCTTGTCTTTGGAAGTCTAAGGCAGGAATCAAGAGTTTGAAATCAAGCTGGGTGGTGGCTGAGGCAAACGGATCTCTGTGAGTTCAAGGCCAGTCTGGTCTACAGAGCTAGTTCTAGGACAGCCAGGGCTACACAGAGAAACCCTGTCTTGAAAAACTAAACAACAACAACAAAAAGAGTTTGAAATCAAAGCTGAGCATGGCAGCAGTTTAGCCTGTGATCCTAGCACTTGAAGAGTCAGAAGGAAAGGCAGGAGATCAGGAGTTCAAGGCCAGCCTCCACTTCATAGGGAACTTGAGGTTAGTGTATGCTACATGAATTCTTATCTAAAAAAAAAAAAAAAAATTGAGTTAAAGCCAGCCTGGGCTGTACAATGATCTGAAGGTCAGCCTAGGGTACAAGGTGAGATCTTTTCCCAAAAAGGAAAAAATTAGTTAGCTAGCTAGTTAGTTAGAGAATTAGAGAGATAGGTGGATAGGTTAAATATCTTATTAAATATCTTAGCCTTTGAAGCTTAGGTCCCAGCTGTCGCCAGCACCATTCCAGTTCTTCAGGTATAGCCCTGAAACTTGACTGAAACCAGACAGAAGGGGACGAAAGTGGCCCACGTGATCAATCCCTCTCTGTTCCAGACCTTGTCGCTCCCCGTGGTTGTCATCGTTCACGGCAGCCAGGACAACAATGCGACAGCCACTGTCCTCTGGGACAACGCCTTTGCAGAGCCTGTGAGTGGATCCCTCGGTCTGAGGGTCTTCAGATCTCAAGACTGGTTCTCTCTCTCCCTCTGTGGGAGGGGGGGTGGGGGGTGGGCGCGGGTTGCCATTTTCCTTGGGAGACAGAATAGAAAGTGTGGGAAGAGAAAGAGTTTGATGTCCAGCCTCTTCCCGCGGTGGCCGTGGGAAGTTCGTGTGGCCTAGAGAGACTCAAAGGACTTTCCATTTGGTACCTGCAGCACAGGTAACATGGTGCTCCATGGCGCCATCCTGAGGCTAAGCTCAGTAACACAGGAGATGCTCTGTAAATACCTGAATCCTCAGAGCAACCCTGGATGGGCTGGTGGGGGGAGGGGAGCTAGGCCTTATCTAGAGTTTACTTTAGCTGAGAACTGGCCTCAGTCATGTGCCAGTAAATGAGGATGACATTCAACGCTCTTCCCAGGTCTCATATTCTGAGTCATCCCCGGTCTCACAAAGAATGACGTGCTCGTCTGAGGAACAAATACGTTGTGGGCTTAAGCATCCCCCAAAACACAGAATTATACTTGCATACTGACAAGCATTTGTGCTAGCTCTCTCGCTCTCTCTCTCCCTCCCCTCTCTCCCTGCAAGCCTCTCTTCCCCCTCCCCTTTTCTCTCTCTCTCTCTCTCCACACCCCTTTCTTTTTTCTCATGTAGCATCCCAGGCTGGTGTTGAATTCACTGTGCAGCAAAGAACCCCTGACCTTCTCCCCTCCCCCTGTCCTGGCAGCGCAGGCATTACCAACCACATCCATTTTTTTTATGAAGTACTGGGAATAGAACCCTGAGCTTTGTGCATGCTAGGCAAGCACTCTACCAGTTGAGCTATATCCCTAGCCCATGATGAACATTTTCAAAGCATTCCCATGAGCAGAGATCGGTATTGCATATTTCCAGCAGAACTTATGATAAAAGGAGCATTGTTATCCAGCACGTCAGAGTTTGTCCTTCTCCAGTGCATAACGCAAGATCCTTTGGCTCTCCAGCTGTCGTCTTTAGACAACCACGCTTTATTGCAAAGGCAGGGTTTTTTATGAGATTCTTCCCTGTGTGTGCTACAAACCCAGAGTTTAGACTCTTGAAAAAGGCCGCTGCGCACTCTGCCTTCATAAACCTTCTGGATTGGATTGCTTCATTTCTGTCCCTGCTCTCCACAGAGCTCTCCGTAACCTTGACATGCCCTGCAGTGTGTCATCAGTAGGACATCTTGCCCAAATAATATGTATTTTCCCATTTTTAGTTAAACTAATGCTAGGGTATCTTTTTTTTTTTTTTTGGTTTTTTCGAGACAGGGTTTCTCTGTGTAGCTTTGCGCCTTTCCTGGAACTTACTCTGTAGACCAGACTGGCCTCGAACTCACAGAGATCCGCCTGGCTCTGCCTCCCGAGTGCTGGGATTAAAGGCATGCACCACCGCCACCTGGCTAAATGCTAGCTATTTAAAAGTAAATGCAGAAAGCTTGACATGGTGGTACACCTTTAGTCTCAGCTCAGCACTTGGAAGACAGAGGCCAGCCTGGTCTACATGAGTCCCAGGCAATTCGGGGTTACATAAAGAGACCCTGTCTCAAAAAAAAATTAGTAAATAAATACAGGGGTTTGAGGAATGGCTCAGTCAGTAAAGTGCTTGCTTCACAAGCATGAAAACCTAAGTTCATATTCCCGAGAACCCATGTGAAAATCCAGTGCGGCTGCCCTTGATTGTAATCGCAGCTCTGGGGAGGCAGGGACATGAGGATCTCTGTGGCTCACTGGCCAGACAGTCTCACCATCTCACTGAGCTCCAGACTCAGTGAGAGAAATAAGGAAGCACTGTATGTCCACCTCTGGCCTCCACATAAATGTGCATGCACACATAGGGACACCTTCATACAATAAAATATACATGTTCTAATGGGATTTTATTCTGCACAAATACTATGTATATGTTATGTAATAAGTACAATGTGGCCTTGTTTGTCATAGCTAAGGACGGGAGGCTGATAGATTGATGCCCATCTTCAGGGCTTGGCAAATGTTGGTCTTCTCCGTTGCAGAATATTTAGCAACCATAGAAGAAAGTGAAGACTTTGCCAGGCAGTGGTACATCCTTGTACTCTCAGCACCTGGGAAGCCAGCCTGGGATGCATAGCAAGAGCCTCTCTTCAAAAGGAGAAAAAGGGAAAGAAGGAGAAGAATTTCTTTGTAATGTTTAACTGGCACATTAAGACTGCACATATTCATGGCATACACTGTTACATTTTAATTTACAGATACATTGTGTAGTAGTCAGATCAGGGTAACTAGCATATCCATCTCCTGGACACTTATGATTTTCATGTGCTAAGAACATTGAGGGGCTGGAGAGACGGCTCCCAGGCAGAACACCAGAGTCCAGCCAAGTGGCCCACAACTGCCTTCAACTCCAGCTCCGGAGACTCTGACACCCTCTTTTGGCCTCCGTGGTCACCTACACATACATACATGTACAAGCACACACAGAGACACACAACTAAAAATAAAATAAATATCTTTTTAAAAAGAAAAAAAAAAAAGAGAGCATTGACAGTCCACTGACCACGCATGGTAACTCACTCCTGTAATCCTAGCACTTAGGAGCTAGAGTCAGAAGGATCAGAAGTTCAAGGTCATTCTTAGCTATATATTAATATCAAGTTCAAGACCAGATTGGGCTGCATGAGACCCTGTCTCAAATAAACTAAAAAGGGGGGCTGGGAGATGACTTAGTAAAATGCTTATATGGAGACCTGAGTTTTTTATTTTATTTTATTATTTTATTTTATTTTATTTTATGTGTATGAGTGAGTGTTTTGCCTGCATATAGATATGTGTACCATGTTGTGCCTGGTGCCCATGGAGGCCAGAAGAGGGCACCAGATCCCCAGGAACTAGAGTTACAGACGATTGTGAGCTGCCATGTGGATGCCGGGAATCAAACCCAGGTCCTCTGCAAGAACAGCCAGTGCTCTTAATCATTTGAGCTATCTCTCCAGCCCCAGTAATAAATTAAAAGATAAAACACATAGAAAGCTCATGAGGGCTGGGCGGTGGTGGCGCACGCCTTTAATCCCAGCACTCGGGAGGCAGAGCCAGGCGGATCTCTGTGAGTTCGAGGCCAGCCTGGGCTACCAAGTGAGTTCCAGGAAAGGCACAAAGCTACACAGAGAAACCCTGTCTCAAAAAAACCAAAAAAAAAAAAAAAAAGAAAGCTCATGAGGAATGACACTTGAGGCTGACCTTTGGCCTCCACATATGTGCACCACCCCCGCCCACTCCCACAGAAAGGGGAGGGGGAAGGGAGAAGGGAGGAAGGAAGAAAGTCCCCTCTTCTGGCTGTTTAGAAACATGCCACTACAGTCACCTAGTGTGATCTGAGCCCCAGACCACGTTCCTCCAGCCTAATTGCACCTTTGTAACCCATTGACCAGCCGGCTGGCTGGAATGAGAAGCAATTTATTAAAAGTTCATACACTAAATCCCCAGGGGAGTCCTTGCCCTGGAGGAGATGGGAATGGGGGAGTAGATGGGGGGGAGGGTGGGGGAAGGGGCAGGAGGAGGGAGGACAGGGGAATCCATGGCTGATATGTAAAATTAAATTAATTATAAAATTGTTACACTAACCTTTTTATCAATAAAATTGCCAACTAGAAAATTTCCACTCTTCCATGCCAAGTTGCTTCACTTTGAGCTAGAGTTCTTGGCAGGTGTCAAGGGCAAGTGTTACACTTGCAGCCATACATGTGTGTGTGTCCATTCTCTCTCTGTGCTCACTTAGAAGTGTTACACTTGTGACCATACATGTGTGTGTCCATTCTCTCTCTGTGTATACTTAGAAGTGTTACACTTGTGACCATACATGTGTGTGCCCATTCTCTGTGTGTTCACTTAGAAAGCCAGCCTTGTCATTTTGCTTTCTCCCCCCCCCCCCCATGGGATCTTGTGTAGCCCAGGCTGACCTCAAACTCTATGTAGCAGAAAATGACCTTGAGCTCCTGCCCCTTGGGGTGCTGAGATCACAGGCATGTCTCACCCACCCCCACCCCCCACCCCCACCCCCGGCAATGTTTTCAATACCTAAACTTCCAGTGACTCTAGCCCAGGAGCCTCGGCGTGGCGATGCTTTGTTCTGACTCTGTTTGTTAGAACCAGAGTCAGACTGCATGGTCAGCAGCTGCCGAGCCAGTGCACCGAGCTCGAGGTGGCCCCCTAGCTGTGTCGTATACGAGGACCACAAAGTAGAACCGTGTGTGTCTCTCAGAACTGGACACCCCGTCAAAGTCTGAATACACTCAGGCTTGGCAAGACAGCGCTTTCTAACTCTCCCCAGCCACCATTGCTTTTCTTTTGCAGCCTGAGAGAATCCGTCATGCAACTGTTCTCTTACACGCCGGCTTCTCTCCCTCTCAGGGCAGGGTGCCGTTTGCCGTGCCTGACAAGGTGCTCTGGCCGCAGCTGTGTGAAGCGCTCAACATGAAATTCAAGGCCGAAGTGCAGAGCAACCGCGGCCTGACCAAGGAGAACCTGGTGTTCCTGGCCCAGAAACTGTTCAACAGCAGCAGCAGCCACCTCGAGGACTACAACAGCATGTCGGTGTCCTGGTCCCAGTTCAACCGGGTGAGCGGCTGGCTGCCAGTTGCTCTTACTCCAGTCTTTCCAGATGTTTGTCTGCTGGAGTTCCCCCGCCCTGGGCCCCTGTTCTTCATATTTTCGTAAACTCTACCCAAAGTCATAGGAACATCTGTGTAGATGGAGCACTGGAGAGTTAGTTGGGTCTCATGTAGTCACGTCTTTCCGTGGTGTGAGGAAGCTGGAGCTTGCATGCAGTTAATGCATTCCTTCTCTTAGGAAGGAAACGGTGCAGCAAACACTAGCCAACCTTCCCCGGCTCTGTTCTGGCAGCTCTGATGTGGAACGCCAGCACAGCTTCTGGGGGACCCTCAACTTCCCAGAAGGGGGTATGGACAGAGGAAACATTTCCTCTGGCATCTGTCAAATTCGTGATTGTGTCAGATCTTTGGCTCTTCAGTTAATCTTCTCCCCCGTATGTCCTCACCCCAGACTTTCAGATGCCCTTGATTCAGAGAGCTCACGGCTTCTGAGTCTTCTGAGTGGTTCTGGGCTCACAGTTGCTGGTCACCAGAGGTGGGGAAACGGGCCTCAGTGGCCTAGCTTCGACACTGTGGTAAAGCCCTCGCCTCCCACAGAACCTAGTTACTGTACTTGGCTGATAATTACTGGGAATGTGTGTGTGTGACGTCAGCTTCTCTGTGGCTTCTTGTGGCCTCATTCAGGTCAGATCTACAAAGCCACCCTGCATCTTATTAAAGCGCAGGCTGTGATTCATAGCAGGTCTGAGGTGGGCCTGGGAAAATGTGCATTTCTCAGAATCTCCCAGGGGATACTGATGCTGTTTGTCACATGTCACATGTGTCAGAAATAGCCAGAGGCAGGTCCACCAAATCTAGCTGGAGGTGTAGCAGGCTCCCCTGGGGGTTGGTACGAGGACTGTGGCTTTTATTCTTTGCCTCTCCCTTTCCTCTGTGGCTTGTCTTTGGAGCTTTAGGACGATTGATAAAAAGCAAACAGGCAGAGATATTTGCATGCGTCTGATAGTGGAGATGTTTGTCTGTAAGCAGCCCATGCCGCCTGTCCATAAGCATTGGCCAGGATTTGAAGCTTTTCAGTTTCTTCAGAGGCCTGATAGTCTGGGAAGTCAGAGCCAAATCTGCCCTCCCCATCTCTTCCTCGCACATTTTTATAGAGAACCTGAACAAAGGCAATAAACCAATTCAAAGTTCAATTGTATTCTTCTGGTAGCCGGGTCCCCAGGGTTCAGTCTTCTCCCCCTGGCAGCTGGGTCCTCAAGCTCAGTCCTGTCCTCTGGCAGTTGATCCTCAGAATTCAGCCTTATGCTTCCAGCGGCTCACAACTGTCCATAACTCCAGTTCCAGGGGATCCTTATGGCCTCTTCTGGCTTCTGGGCACTGCACACATGTGGCACACAGACAAACGTGCAGGCAAAACACCCACACACAAAATAATAAAATAAAGAAAAGAAACAGCTCTTATGGACCCCGATCCTATTCTCTAGGAAGCATGCCCACAGCCAAAGAAAGCCTAGGAGCGGGTCAAGCTGGGAGAATCTTTTAACCACAAAGCACACAAACTGGCAAGCTACTCTGCTTCACTGTGAGGGTCAGACTAGAGAAGGGACATTCTGCCGGGCGGTGGTGGCACACATCTTTAATCTCAGCACTGGGGAGGCAGAGTCAGGCGGATCTCTGTGAGTTGGAGGCCAGCCTGGGCTACAGAGCGAGATTCCTGTTCCCCGCCTTGCTGTCTTGCTCCATGTGACAGGGTGGGTTCACATACACCAAGGCCATTGAGTCTTGCCTACCTCCTGGGTGACATCTAGGTTTAACGCTAATTCAGAAGAAGCCAACCCTCAGCAGGTTGTGTGTGGGGGGTCTTTCTACAGAATACGGGACCCGTGTCTTTGCAGCACATTGTCTGTCATACGGGCAGCTGACATTCCAGTGCTCACTCCGGCTTTCTTCCTGTTCGTTGTTGTCTCCGTCCAGGAGAACTTGCCGGGACGGAACTACACCTTCTGGCAGTGGTTTGACGGGGTGATGGAGGTGTTAAAGAAACATCTCAAGCCTCACTGGAACGATGGGTGAGAATCATCTTTACTGTTGCGTATTTATTTATTTTTTTTTATTTTATTTTTTAATTTTTTATTTTATTTATTTGTTTGTTTGTTTATTTATTTATTTATTTATTTATTTATTTATTTATTTATTTATTTGGTTTTTTGAGACAGGGTTTCTCTGTGTAGTTTTGTGCCTTTCCTGGAGCTCACTTGGTAGCCCAGGCTGGCCTCGAACTCACAGAGATTCGCCTGCCTCTGCCTCCCGAGTGCTGGGATTAAAGGCGTGCGCCACCACCGCCCGGCCTGTTGCTTATTTATATTAGATGTTGCCAAGGCTTTCTCCTGAGCTCAAGCAATCCTCCTGCCTCAGTCCCCAAGCAGCTGGGGCTGCCATCTCCCATTCAGTCAGTACTAGAATACCAAAGCTTTCTCTCTGGCATTGTTACCCCTGCTTCTGTTCCTCTGCCTCTTTCATGCAGGGCCATCTTGGGTTTCGTGAACAAGCAACAGGCCCATGACCTGCTCATCAACAAGCCAGATGGGACCTTCCTGCTGAGATTCAGCGATTCCGAGATCGGAGGCATCACCATTGCCTGGAAGTTTGACTCTCGTGGGTACCTCTCCCTTTCTGCAACACATCTTGGCTTTATGTCCAAAGTTAGCTGGTTTTGTCAAAAAAAAATGATTCTGATCCATCTCATTGAGAACATGTTGTTTGTCGGGGCCAGTCCTCATTACAGGAATCACTAACTTAACGATGACGCAGCTGCTCGTAAGGCGGCCTGTGAGCAATCTTATTATGGGAAATGCTGAAGCATAGCCTTAAAATGGGCAACAGCCAGAGTCTCAGCCACTTCCCTTTTGAAACGTTTGCCTCTTTGTTACTCAGCCTGGAGATCGTTCCAGTCATCCTGAACAGTAATAATACACTAGTTCCGTGATTCCCTAATTAATGTAAGGTGTTGCCACTGAGCATTGCCACTCAAGAATGTCTCTTCTTTTTTTTTTTTTTCTTTCTGTTTTTCAAGACAAAGTTTCTCTGTGTAGTTTCGGTGCCTGTCCTGGATCTCGCTCTGTAGCCCAGCCTGGCCTCGAACTCACAGAGATCCGCCTGACTCTGCCTCCCGAGTGCTGGGATTAAAGACGTGCGCCACCACCGCCCGGCAGAATGTCCCTTCTTTAGTCTGACCCTCACAGTGAAGCAGAGTAGCTTGCCAGTTTGTGTGCTTTGTGGTTTCAAGATTCTCCCAGCTTGACCCGCTCCTAGGTTTTCTTTGGCTGTGGGCATGCTTCCTAGAGAATAGGATCGGGGTCCATAAGAGCTGTTTCTTTTCTTTATTTTATTATTTTGTGTGTGGGTGTTTTGCCTGCACGTTTGTCTGTGTGCCACATGTATGCAGTGCCCAGAAGCCAGAAGAGGCCATAAGGATCCCCTGGAACTGGAGTTATGGACAGTTGTGAGCCGTCATGTGGGTGCTGGGGACTGAACCCCAGTCCTCTGGAAGAACAAGTGCTCTTAACTGCTGAGCCGTCTCTCCAGCCCCGGAGCTATGTCTTTCAAACAGGGGAGGACCCTACTTGAACTTGAGTCCACTGAGATCTCTGGATCTCTAGGGAAGTGATGGATGCATCTGCTTGTGTATCGAGACATCTCAGGGGTCCCTATCCACAGCCTGTGGCTGTTTGGGGATGAACATTTCTGTTGGCATGATTTTAATGAGGGGCTTGAATTTTAAGTCTGTGGATTTTAAGATCTCACATTCAGAAATCATGGTTAGAACGTGATTATTCTGTTTATTGCTCTAGAGGAAAGAATGTTTTGGAACCTGATGCCTTTCACCACTAGAGACTTCTCCATCCGGTCCCTGGCTGACCGCTTGGGGGACTTGAATTACCTCATATACGTGTTTCCTGACCGGCCGAAGGATGAAGTCTATTCTAAGTATTACACGCCAGTCCCGTGTGAGCCTGCCACCGGTGAGTGTCCATCTGTGGTGGATTTTGTACTGACTTTACTTTTGATTTTGTTTGAGTTTTTGCTAGTATGTGTGTGTACATACATGTGTATATATGTGTACATGTGTGTATGCATGGATGGGCAAATCTCTTTCCTGCGTGAGACCCAAACAGCACCCCACTGCTGTTCAAGAAATACCCAGGGCAGATGTGAACCCCATGCAGTATTTGTCAGTGAAAATGCCTCTACTTCCTGGATGCCGGAGACTGAAGTCACACAATACCACTCCTGGCCAAAATAATACCCCATATTATCCTAAAAATGTTAGGAAGTGCACAAATTTGTCAGAAAGAAAGGCATCGCACACATCTGGAAGTTAGTCTCTGTAGACAGCTCGGTGGCAGTCTTCAGCATTCTGTAGATGTGTGTTCTGTTCTCTCCCCGGGTACTTGGGAGCTTCTGATGTGGAGGCTGCAGTCTGGTCAGAGACAGCAAGTGAGTCAACAGTGACGCGTGTTTACCGAGCAGTGGATTTGCTGAAGAACCCTCAGCAGCTGCAGCCGTGAGGGGGTGAGGTGCGGGGAGCGGGCATCGTTTCTCCAGAGTGCTCAGGGGAGGCTTCTGAGGAAGTGACACGTGAAGAGACTTGAACAAAGTAAGGAAGCTGGCTTCGCAAAGATCTAGAGAGCAAACATCCTAGGCCGAGAGAGTAAGTCCAGCTGGGGTGGCCGAAAAGCTCCCCAGAGCCAGGAGGCTGCTTCCAGCCAAGCAGGATGCTGATGGTGGGAGCTGAGGCCAGGGCGCTTAAGCAGTGGAGGCCAGGGTGAAAGGTTAAGCCATACATTATCCTTTGTGCCCTGATTTCAGACACACACATCCCCCCGCCCCCTCTCAAGAGTTACAGGTCAGAGCCAGGTGGTGGTGGTGCACACCTTTAATTCCAGCACTCAAGAGGCAGAGGCAGGCAGATCTGTGAGTTTAAGGACAGCCTGGTCTACAGAGTGAGTTCCAGGACATCCAGGGTTACACAATGAAACTGTGTCTTGGGGGGAAAAGAAAAAAAAAAGTTACAGGTCAGTAATGCATTCATGCCACATGAGTGAATCTTCATGATTGCATAGGATTCCATTACATAGATTCTGTACTATATTCAAGGTTAGGTAATTACAATTCTTATTACTTAATTTCATTTTCACTTATGACTGAGATTGAGATAACCTAGCATAGTATCTTGTTCAACTATTTCCTTAGGATAAATTCCTAAGCAGAATTAGGTCAAAGGGCTAATGCTTTTTAAGCTTTTTGATACACCTTTCCAAAATTGCCTTCAAAAGGCCAAATTCACTTCCCCCACAGACACCTGTTGGACATCTGCTTTTCTGTCCTCTTGCCAACCACAGGATAGTCATCCATTTCATGTCTGCCAGTCTAGTTGGCATAAAAATGCTACCTTATAGCTGGGCAGTGGTGGCACATGCCTTTAATCCCAGCACTTGGGAGGAAGAAGCTGATCTGAGTTCGAGGTCATCCTGGTCTACAGAGTGAGTTCCAAGACAGCCAGGGCTACAGAGAGACATTGTCTCAAATAATCAAAAAAA